AAAAAGGAATATGGAGGTAACCTGGGACCCAGAAGGAGGCCTACTTATGACAAGGCTTGGCGAAGTGCAAAGGCTTCTATGGAGAAGCCCTAAGAAAGAATGGTTGCTATCCAGATGAAGCATGTGAGAAACAGGATTTATCAATTATTGCCTTTGTCCCCAGTCTTAGGACCTAAGCCCAGAAAAACAAGCTATAATGCCATTTCCAGAATGCACACAATCCTAGCAAGACAAAGTTCTCAGTGACTTACAAATGGAACTTCTCCTCCCAAACAGGATTTAAGTTTCCAAAAATGGTCTTGGTACGCTTCTTGGTTTTGCCGACTTGCACAGTCACATAAGGGTCACTGGATCCTGTTTTGTCCTTGGCTTGCAGGCCCTGGGCACACACCACTGCAGACCAAGCATACACAGAAACTTCAGAGTATGTTTCCAAGCTAGGTCAGAAGGCCTCCAGAGCACTTTGTACAAGCGCTCCATCTCAGAGCCGCCTCCCTCTCTGCACAACAGTCCTAACCTCATGGCTCCATAGCTATTCTTCATGCTGGGCCACTAGCTTGTCCCTCAAAGGCCAGCACAAGAATCCCCACCTCAACCCCTGACTGACTACTTAGCTTCCCTGATACATACATGATTCAGCCCCACCCAGCAAATTAGTAAACCACTGATTATTCCCCCTCTCCTGCTTGCTCCTTCCACATAACCCAGCTCTTGCTGCTAACCAAACCTTGAGTGTCAGACAGTGTCTATAGTTATCAGATCCTTGCATTATGGTTCACATTTTTTGTAGGCATCTGTCTTGCCTCTCCTAGCACAAGGGTCTGGGAAGGGAGAGATGGACAGTGCCCTCCCTCCTTCCTCTCCGTGCTCATCACTTGCTCCCTCACATTACAGCTGCTTCCTCCCCAGGCTCTTCCCACGGCCAAGCCTCTCTGACCCTTCAGAGTTTTCATGCTTACCAGTGATGGTGATCTTGGCCGACCATTTAGAGGTGCCGTCTAGTACACTCTGCTTCACTGTTTTCATCTGCTGCACGTGTGCAACTTTGCTCACTGTGAAGACATCCCTAATAACCTCAAAGATCTCTGGTTTATTTCGCTCTCGGATTTTCATGCGGTCCTTCATAGCCATAATAATGTTCTGGGTCCGATCCTCAGCTCCATGTTTACAGCTCTTTTCCGCAGCCCCTGGAGGGAGGCCAGAGATAGAAAGTAACCCACAAGCCACTCATCAGATCAAGATCAAGCTGAGGAATAGGCCCTGGGAGAGGCTGTGAGGCCAAGGAAGAAGCTTAAGGAAATTAGGATAGCTCTGGGAAACGTCAACCACTGTGGGCCCTGCTGACCTGAAAAATGAAAGGGTAGTAAAATCTTAACACAATGAAGGTTCATTACACTATGAACATGGCACCATCACTCATCTCTTCACTACTGCCAAGCATGACCCAGATCCTAGATTTCATGATGGCTGCTCTATGACTCTCAGTGAACACTGTGATGTGGAAAGAAAAGTACGGGCTTTGGGCAATGAGACAGACTTGCGTTCAAATCCTGCCTCCAATGCTAACTTTGGTAAACTGGATTTTTCTAAGAAAAGATAATAGTGCTTATCTTTCAGGGTTATAATAAGCAATATTTTAGATAGCATAACTAAAATATATCCCAGAGCCTGGCAGCTATCAGGTACAGTGGTACTTCCATTTATGAACTTAATTCTTTCCAAGATTCTGCTTGCCAACCAAATTGGATGAGAACTGAATTGAAGTCAATGGTTAGGTTCAGTGACAAACTTACAAGGAAATCTGATGCAGTGTTCATCCAATTCAGTTTGCAAGCAGAATTGTGGAAAGAAGTTTGGGAACCAAGGTATCACTATACTCAATAAATGGTCACTATTATAATTCCTTTCTCCTACTATAATCCTTATAGATACCATTGCTATGGTTTATCTCTGAGTAACAACTCAGAGACCTAGAGAGACAGAATACTTTCTCATATGTTCAACCCTTGCTTTTCCTGGGGCTCAGCTACAGTATAAGTCCAGCTGCAGGGGAGCAGATGATAGGAAATCAGAGCACACTACATCCCCTGCGAGGAGCCTGGTGCTTTTCCTAGTCTCGTGCTTTCCACTCCAGCAGGCGGACCACATATGTAGACAGGCCTGGGGAGTCTTGTACACTCTCTTCCTGGAACCCTTGCTCCATCAACTTGAAACTTCTGTTCCTGGAACTGCTATCTAAAAGCTCCATCTACAAGCAAGCCAAGGAAAACATGCTGCAAACATGTAGGATTTTCTGGCCCTAGGATCTAGACCCCAGAGAGTGCCTCTGTAGAACCTCACAAGTGTCTCTCATCTCTCCTCTCTTCCTCTCTCCTCTTCCTCCTCTCTGTCTCTGCCTCTCTTTCTGTCTCTGTCTCTGTGTGTCTGTCTTGTCGTCTCTGTGTGTGTGTGTGTGTGTGTGTGTGTGTGTGTGTCTGTCTGTCTGTCTGTCTGTCTGTCTGTCCTTACAGTTCCTGATTTAATTATACATGCTCTACTCATTTGGCTAACAAGGCATTAAGGTGTACATGCTACTCCAACTCAGCCTCTGGGATCAAGTAAACACTGAAAGAGATTCTAACTGTACCAGAAGGATAAAGAAAGTTCAAAGAATGTTTCCCAAAGGTACTTAAAAAGCTACTAAAAAGCTTTCTATTTGGAAAGCAATACCCCTTGATTCAATACTCTACCTTCTCTGAAAATGAGCTTTGCAGTGAAGTAGACTGGAGGATGGTTCAGCCAGCCCTCACTCTTCACTGCAGATCAGTTTAGAGAGGCCCTGCTGCCCCTGATCCCCAACCCTCACCCCACACCAGAACTCACGCTGCAGGCAGTCGGCATTGAGCAGGTCCTGGCACTTCTCATGGCACTTGACTCCACATTCACTGCAGCGCATGCCCTGCCTGGCAATGCCCCACAGCAAGCCTTCACATTCGTAGCAGTAGGTTGGGGTAGTAGCTGTCCAGACTTCAAAGTTGTGAGGTGTGGTACATGAGATGGGGTAGATTAAGGCCTGAAGGGTTTTCTTATACACATGAGATTTCTGAAAGACACATACCCCATCGTCCACCAGTGACTTCAGGACTGCTAAGAAATTCTACAATTGAGATCCTAGGGGGCAATCAGGGTCCTGCTTTTACCCTTGCCAGGGGAAAAGAAAATCTAGTTTTGCCCAGTCCAGTCCAGCCTAGTGGAAAGAAATCCCCACTACAGTATGTCCAGGTTGTCCAACACAGGTCTGACTTGACATTGGTTCTAAGCCTTGTCCCAGCATTCACACTTTTATGAAAACAGAGGGCATACAGGGTTCAGGGGTCACATCGTTCAACATGAGGCTCCAGTATGGACTCTGGCCTCTCCCAGTGTAGAAAAATGGCAATCTGATGCTATGTAGTTTCCTGAATATGTGTCTGGTAATTCTCACTTAGTATGGCTATAGAGATGACCACAGTCCTAAGGATAGAGGACTCAAGAAAGCCTCTGGGTCACTTACCAGCTCTTCATCCTTGAGAGAAGTCCGTGTAGCCATTGCTGAAGTAATCCCTGCCTTCCGGGACTGGACCAATGACTAGGAAAGAACACTTGCTATCAGCTCTGGTCTCCACCAAGCAAAATCTTGGGAGGACACTTCAGTGACCAATGCCAGTTGGATACAATTTATTCTATTCTTATTGTTACTTAAAGGAAATACCCCTGGGCAAAAGGTAACAAGTGTCTCAGTTTAAGATGCAAAATCAAAGAGATTTCTTTCAGGGTTTCTAGCTTCTGAAGGGCTTCTCTGTCCCTCACTATTCTTAGGTGTCCTGCCCCACAGATACCCCTCATTTATAGGAAGGGAAAGGAAAATGAGTAGTTTAGAATTACAGTAGGAAACAAGTCATAAGAATAAGAGACACACAACCCTTTCAGAGTTATACTGAAGAACCATCACTGGTGATGATGATTCTAGGCTAATTGCCATTCCCCATGCCCAGGCCCTACAGAGCCTTACAAACCAATGGCCCAGTGACCAAGACATTTGGCAAGTGAAAAGGACATGGCAATTTCAGTGAAATCAAGCTGGGAGGGAGTTAAATCTAAGAGCTGGGGCTGACCTGCTGGCCAGGCTCTTGTAGCCCCATGAGTCTGTCAAGTACAAGCTAATTTAGAGGCAGACTCTGGACAGAGTGAAGTCAATATCAACCTAGGCATGCAGGAGTACCAGCTGTGAAAGGCCCAGGTGATTCGGGATATGGACTCTTAGAGGATGGAGGGGGGCTCTGGAGACACTCACCATAGCCTGTGCAGAGGAGAGCAGAGAAAGGAACAACATAGTGTTAAAGTCCCCCAAGGGCATGAAAACTTTGAGAGGCAACAGAGAGGTTCTTTTCTATCACACTAAGTACAAGAAGCATGTCTCAAACCCCTCTGCCTCTATCCACTAAAAAGCCAGCAACCAGAGCTTAAAGCGTCTACTCAGACTTAAACCACAAAGTGAAAGACAGGCAAGGTAAAAAGAGAAGAAGGAAACAGATACATGAGCTAGAAAATTACTTGTAGGTAAGGAGGGAAGAGAGAATGGGGGAAAAAAGAAAAGACAGAAGAAAAAGATAAGACAGGCAATAATAAAGAAAGTAGAATGGTGATAAAGGAAATATCAGAATTTATCCCTTTAACAAGCTAGGTGATGAGCTGATGGAAGAAGAGGAGAGGAGGAAAATGAGGGCTAAGGGTGTGACTCAATGGTACAGTGCTTGTCTGGCATGTGCAAGGCCCTGGGTTTGATCCAGAGCACCATTAAAAGAAAAGAAAAAAAAAAAAGGCAGGAAAAAGAAAGAAGACATACAAATGGTAAGAAGGAAAGAAATGAAGAGAAATGGTAGATAATTCCATTCAGCCAACTAAGGAAGGAGAAACTAGTGGGAGAAAGAAAATGAAAGAGAGAAAAGAGTAGCAAGAGAAACAGAAGAGAATAGGGAGAAACAAAAAACAGGAACTGAAAATGGTACTAAGAAAAAGGATTCAGGTATTACTACACTCTTATAACTTGCCTGTAGCTTTAGCACTCTGGGACTCTGGAAGAGCCTAGGTTCCATTCTATCTCTCAATCCATAGGCTCTAGAAAATTCCTTCAACTGATCCTGCTTCAGAAGGTATGGCCTAGAGTGGGACCTTCTAGTTATACTAGAGTTTTGAGATCAGCTCTAACTTCCAAATGGTATAATTCAAGCTTGATCCCCAAGAAGGATCAAGCTCCAGCAACGTTCATTATATACCAAGTTCAACAATCTGGGTTAACGGTTAGAGGCAGGTCATCACAGAAGGTTGTAGAGATACCTAGAGGAAAGCCCAGGGACCCAACTTTGAGGACATAATTGTTCCAGTGTTCCTACAAAGGAACCCAGGGCTCTGACTATGAAGGTAAAACAAGGTCCTACTGAAACCATCAGTAGGACTTTAAAAATCTAATCATCAGAACAATACAATCCAGTAAATGGACCACCTCCAATCCTAACAGCTTATTAAGGCCCAGCTGGGGATACCCCCAGGCTACCTCCTAAGTTTGTACAGGAGATTTTACTTACCAGATCACTGACAAGTGGCAGTGGCTTCTTCCTGCGTAGATCTGGCATGCTGTCAATGCCATAGAGCCCTCCAGCTGGCCTGTGAAGAAAGGAAAATATGTCAGGATCTTCAGTCCTGTCTTGAGTTACTGTCAGGTTCAGGATTCCATTTTCCTTTTTCTCTGTCTCTGCAGAGAAAGATGAACCAACCTCCACCATGTGCCTTTGAGAAGGTTAAAGAAGGCAACAGAAAGAATAAAGGAAGGAATAATGCTGCAGGAGGAGCAATGGAATCTGCTCTCAGAATGCCCCTCTGTGTCTTCTGTAGTTTTAACCAACCAGGACAGTTCATGGGACTTCTGTTTACTTAAATGCACCGTGCCACCGAAAGCAAGGTTGGAATTGGTGGCCAACAGGTTTCTTGTCCACATATAGGCCAGAGACACTGCTTCCCAAAAATAAGACTTCCCTGCTCTGTTCAAAAGAGCCTACTGAAACAGCTCTACAGGTAGAGCTTGCTGCCTACATGAGTAAGACTGAATGAGTCACCAGCTCTGTCCATCCAAGCCTTCTGAAGAAAAGGGTCTTCAAGGAGACAGAACCCTCAGAATCAAGGTGAGGCAGAGATGTGATGGGATGGGTGTTGGGAAAACCATTCGGAAAAAGAAAATAGCAGAACTCTGGGAGTCTGGCCTAGCCCTGTGGACACATTAGAAAGAAAAAAATTACAGCCAAAGTAATTGGAGATTTCTAAAACTTTTATACCTTTACCATATTTATTAATTTTGTTGTGTGGCTATATTTTCATAATGTTGTGCAACAAAAAAAGATCAGGCTGTCTTCCCAAAAACATCACTATTACTGAGATGACTTACATTTTAGCTCCACTTTTACAAAATCCCATCATGTCTTCTGCTAATATTCCTTCCTCTCTTTTGGGCCTTGGTGTCACTTCTATAAAATGAGGTGCACAAGTAGACAATCTCTCTAGCATTTTGCATGCCAAAACTCTGAGGTTAATGAAAAGAACTCATGTGCTTGGTTTTAATGAGAGAAACTAGATGGGAAAAGCTAAGGAACCTGTGGTTTATACTACAGGTGAAGAGAAATCCCTGAAGAGTAAGCAGGTACTTCCAATAATATACACAAAGAATGGAGTCACAAATTAGGTCAAGGCCAGGAGCTACAATGGTCAACTCAATACACTGATTTGTAACAGGCTGGCTCCCTGCGTATAGGCAATGGACTTTGTCTTTAATGAGGTCACCAGACCTAAGAAAGCTCTATACTTGTGACAGGTTCTAAGCACAAGGCTGAAGGAAAATTTAAAAAAGGAATTATTTAGGAAACTTTTGCATAACTCCATTTAAAAATAGTTTGGATATGTTCCACTGGCATGGGTATACTTTATAATTGTTGGAAGAAAAAAGTCACAAGTTTGTAGCCAATTCTAAAAACTATAATATGTACCATGTAAGCCAAGAAGATTTTTGCAACATAAATGATTCTCTGAAAAAGAAGGGGAAGTTCATCCACATGATTGACCTTTGATTAAAAACCAATAGCAAAATAAGAAGCATGTAAAAATATGACAGCAGAGTGCTTACACAGTGTGCAAAAGGTCCTGGGCTCAGTCCCTTCTCTCTTTCTCTCTTTCACACACATACACGCACACACAGGATGATTTTATGATCTAATCTTTTTCCATGGCCGTGAGTGAGATAAGGCAGCTACTGGAACTTCTTTCTCTTTTCTCCTTTCTTCTCCTCCCCACCTCCCATCCTTCCTTCCCATTCTTTCCACTCTTCCTATTTTCCCCCATACTGCAGATTGAGCCCCAGGCCTTCGTACAGAGCTACATACCTAGCTCTTTCCTATGTTTTTATTTTGAGATAGGGTCTCATTAAATTGTTACGTTTCCCAGGCTGTGTTCAAACTTGTGATCCTCCTGCCTTAGGCTCCTAGAGTGCTAGGATTACAGGCATGCATTACTCAGGAATTCTTCTTTCATAATCCTTTATAGGACAAAGGAAGAAGGAAAGTCAAAGAGCTAACTGGCAGTGTGTGTGGGGGAGTAGGACATGGGGAGACACTTAAACTCTCTCCCAAGAACAGTCAGTTACAGGCAGCAGTTGAGCAGCTTAAAATGACTCTGTGGTGCAATCACATGGGTCTAAAATTCCCAGACAAGAAGCACAGACAGCACACACATAGCTCAGAAGAGATGCTACTTATGTCTTGACTAGAGTGAAATAGAACAAGTTGGTGACTCACAACAGCTGAAGCAGGACTAAACCCAGGCAGTAATCTAGCCAGATACACCATCAACAATGAAATGGAAAGGAAATGTTTCCAAACACAAGTATTTTTTTCTAATGCTCTCATTCTTCTACATAAGTACAATATCACTACGATGCAATGGATCAGAAATTATGAGAGCAGGATGGGAGCCCCAAAGTTCTCTTTCCTGTCCCAGGGGAACCACTTGCCAAAGCCCTTTTCTGCCTCTAAAAAAACTTGCAGGGAACCAATCAATCTAGAGTAGAATCTCTTCCTTCCCTAGGATCCAGCTTATGGACCTAGCTGCCCTGTTCCCAGAGGAAAAGCTAAGCATGGAGACAGGATAAAATCCATAGCAATTTTAGATTCTAGGAAGCACTTACCCTTCTGGGAGCCACTGAGGCAAAGAGGGGTTGCCATCATCTGGAATCTTTAAAAAGAAAGAGAGAAAAAATTAGTTGCTGGGAAATATGGAAGACTGCCCACAGGCTAGCAGCAAGCAGTGTAGGTCACATTTATTACAGGGTGAAACAGCTAGCCTGATACCTACACTAATACCCATCATTCTAGGCAATGAGCATGCTGCTACAATAAGCAGTACTTGTCTCCATTTTTCCCAGTGAAGAAAAAGGATATAAAGTCAAGCTCACTGAGGTCCTAAGGCTAAGAACCCTGCAAGTGTTACGGCTGACAGAAGTCCTATGTCCCTTCTACAAGACACTGGTACAGAACACAGGAAGCCAAGCTTAGGAGAAGAGCTTTTTAAAAGTTTTAGCCCTCACTAAAGCAAAGGGGCAACTTCACAGAGTCAAGTCTTTTTCTAGCTATATTCCTAAGTTTTGATTGCTTAGAAGCAGATCTGGTCTTTCTGAATTACATCTCAGCTTGTGATTTGACATAGCCTACCCCAACTCACTCATACTGAGTACACAAATATGGGATCCTTCTCTATTTTTGATAAGCTTGATATAATGAAAGTCCAGGGCAGATCAGGCATTTGTTTTATTATTTTGATGCATTTTATAGGTTCTAGCATGCAAATCTGAAAACTGAAGCATCATATAAGTCAAGAAAGGAAGTTTAAAAAAAAATTTTAAGGTTTCTGCACACATACAAAAAAAAAAGCAAAACGAAACAAGCAATGGCTTAAGCAATGAAAAGAAAGAGCTCCAAAGTCGCTTGGACTCTCCAGGGAATCAATAGCACATGCTTTTTAAGGACATGAAACCTAGTGCTAACACGTCTGGGGAATTTCATTCCTGCTTTCCCCTCCATTGCCCTCTTTCCTGGAATAGATGAACTCCAGAAAGCAAGTTCTCAGCTTTGGACAGGTTGGGGAGGAGTGAGCTGGGGGATAGCTAAAGGTGGGAGAAGGTACAGATAAGAGAAGGAAAAGAATAGGGGAAGGACAGGGCTGATAGGCAATAGGAAGGTGAGCAAGTATTACTCTGGATCAGCAGTAAACTCATATGAACTTTGGATTAAGCTCCTTCTAGGTAAGGAGTTGTCTATGCTTTAAATCAAACCTACCTGCTTACTGCCCACACCTTTACTCCATCTCTGTCTCCTTAATCCTGGTTCTGAGGGATAGGATAATAGCAGTGATGCAAGGCAAGACCCAAAAGATAGCCAGGAGTGTTGGAAGCAAAAGACAATGGGAATAACAGAAGAAACAACAGTAGGTAGGAAATAATAGAGAAACTGCAAGTCTCCTAAGGTTGCTCAGAGGCAGGACAGGAGGGCATCAGGGGAGTCCTTCTCTATACCTCCAGATTCTACCAACTAGAATCGATCTTCCCTTGGGAAACAACTACTGCAATGAGCAGGCTCTCAATTCCTTTTTAATTCCCAGAATTATGCATTTGCTAGAAACAACAGAGTTTTAAGAAAACAAAGTCACAGGAAGTCATTAGGAACTGGGCCCAGATCATGCTTAGAGAGAGCAACAGTCTGCAGAAGCACAAAGCATGCACACATAGTACACCAAAGGAGGATGGGAGTGAGAAGCATTTATAGGAGCTATATTTGCTGACACAACATGTACCTGAAGGAAAAAAAGGTGAGCATGAATTCTGTGTGTACAGCTTCACAGTATGTATACAGACTCACTGGAGAAGGATTCACAGTGCTCACTAGGGCCCAAATCACAACAAATTCAAAGATCAGCACTTGCGGGCACAGAGTATTCAGGATACCATGCATTCACAAGGTTTGTGGGGGCTACACAACAGGTCTGCTAAAGCTCCTGCTTACAGAGAGTCCAGGAAGTCTGCCCAGAACCACAAAGCACTTCACACTTAGGGTCCCAAGTAAGAGGCACAAAATGCCTGTGGCAACTCCTGCTCTCTCTCAAATACAAGTATGCAAGCATGCTGGGCTCAGCCAAAGTTTACAGCATAGGCCAGAGTCTGCAACAACGTATTAAAAATGGACACACACTGCATAGATGAGAAGAGGACAATCTGTATTTGTGGGAGTGAGATAGAGCATAAGTGTAAGCACACACATGCTACATCGACTGTGTGCCCATGCCGGCTGGCAGGCATACATTCTCACACTGTGCTCCAGGGATGTTGGACGGAGCACACAAAGCATGGAACATGCACACAGACCTTTCTGAAAAAAGACAATCTGCATGAGCCACAGCTCAGAAGTACGGACCATGCACACAGGTGTACACACATACATACACACGCACAGAGTGCTCAGAAGGCAGTATAGAAAATAGACAATAGAAAGGGCCCAAAGGGCCAGAGTCATAACCTGAAGGGCTTCTTGCTTTCCTTCTGCAAAGAGAGAAAGAACAGGAAGAAAAAGGGGGCAAAAAAGTTAGTAGATTAAGTCCTATGGCAATGAACACAAAGAAAATGCCAGCTAATCCCAATGGACATGGAGGAGAGGGTGAGGGCCACTGGATACCCCACCAGGCCACGGAGCTCTACTGACAGGCTCCCAGAATCTTTACTACCCATGTTTGATGGCATCTGATTTTTAGTATGAACATAAACCAGAGGACAAAGTCTGCCTGGGTATTCTACTTGTTGTTTCCTGCTTTCCAAAATGGATTCCACGTAGGGTCTGGGCTGCTAGGTTACAAAATCAAGTTTGTTACCAAGGACCACTCTAACAGACTGGCCAAGCTGTTAAGCACAGAGTGAGTTTTTCCATAGCAGCCATATGAAATTACTCTCGATCTAGGATAGGTTCTTAAGCCCCAAAGGCACTTTCCATTTTTGCAATGTGGGCTTGGCTATGCACTTGCTCAGTGAGCCCCTGCCTGTGTTCCCAGACCTTAAATTAAGTTAGGTCAAAGCAGAACCTGGGGTTAAGTCCAGGACCAGGATGCTGAACAAGTAGAGACCCAGGAGCATCAACTGATTGCTGTCCTAAATAAACTCACCACAATGTGGATGATAAAATCATGGCTGCAATCCCAGACCTAATTATCAAATTCAGAGCCATACTTTCAAAAGAAACAGACATTTTTAGAAGGACCCAAGCATGCCACTATAGATGAGTAAAGTCCAAGATTGCTCTTTTTGTATTCATCAGAGACTCTGTTACCTTCTATGCCACATATGGCTAGCCTACAGGCTTTCTGTTCTATGGATAGCAGAAATATTAAGACTTACAGATTCTCTGCTAGTCCTGTGTCATTCCTACTGAAGTTAGGCAAAAACTGTAACATGGCGCAATGGTGAGAAAGCTCTCAGAGCAGTCTGAAAATAGAGAAAACCAAAGCTCTCTGAAGTTCACAAAGGTGTAGACTCTAGCCTAAGCAAAGGTGCAGCAAAAGGTTCTGCAATGTTTGCATGCTCTTGTTACCTCTGTTTTTAAATTGCTCTTGAGTTTCCATGGTGTATATAGGCCCCTTATAAGCAATATGCAGAAGGTAGTTATGCTAGGTGAATAAATACTAGGGATTTTTTTTTCCAGATGTGTCCACTTTACTCTGTCCTCACCAGGCCTTGCCTGGGTGTTAATCAGTTGGAAGCCCCTGGTGGCTCTGGTTGGTGGCCTGTCTTTTTTGTCCCACTGCCCAGACCTAGGGGAGATTTCTGGTGATGAAGAAGTGCTCTTTTCTTATTTATGTCCTATGCATCATATTCAGGAATAGCTTAGAATAGTAATGATGGCATATACCATATTTGGAAACTAGCAGTATGGGATAAGACTCGAAAAGCACAGGAAACAAAAGCAAACAGACTAGAATAGTCCCCGTTTAAGGGTGCTAACTCCTCACACTGCCTGAACATTTATGGTTAAGTTCTCAGCAGCTGCTCTAAACACAAGAAATAAAGAAATGAATGAAACAAAATGTTTCAGGCTCCTGGACAAGAGGATGCTTCACCCAGCCCACCCAAGATGAAGTTTCCTTCAACAAAACCTCTATAATCTGTCCAAATTAAGAGAGCTAGCCCCTGACAGGAATGACAGCAGCAAACAAAATACTGCTAGATAATAAAAAGTGGTCTCTATGACTCATGTTGACCTATAGTACAGAAGATGAATCATGACTTCCATTACTTTACTTTCACCTCTTCTACTTATTTTTTAAATTCAATTTAACTTAATTGTTTTACAGTACTAAGTATTGGACCCAGGGAATGCTAAGCTATATCCCCAATCATTTTTATAATTTTAAAACATCTACTTAAATTGCCAAGACTCATCTCAAATTTTTAATTCTCCTGCCTCAGCCTCCTGAGTAGCTAGGATTATATATGCACATCACCATACCTGGCTTCTACTTCCTCTTGTCACTTGGTGATTTGAGTTTTGCCTGTAAGCATCTGAAATTTTCCTTGGCAGCTTTTGCAGTTGAAGTTACATATTATAGCAGTGTACCAGATAGTGTGGTAGTTGAAAACAAGAAACTGAACATGCTCTTAAAACCTTCATCACTCCTAATGTTTCTCTAAATGGAAGCCTCTGCCACTGTGTGAAATCCTCCAAGATCACTAAGAATTGAACACCAAGTTTATCTACTTGGGTCCATTAGCTCCCTTCACCTCCTTGCCATCATTCACTGATTCATTGATTCATTGATTCAGAGGAAGGGTAGAATTATGGAGCCTTGAACTCATGATATTCCTGCTTCTGGCTCCTAAGTAATGAGATTACATCAGATATGTGCCACCACCCTCAGCTTTCTCCTCCTTTTTAAGGAACTGATTTTTAGCAAAGTAGAAGGGAGACTGTTCCTTTTTAATAAGAAAATTAGGCAAAGCCATGCATGGTATGCATGCCTATAAACTCTGTTACTGCAGAGGCTGAGGCAGGAAGACCACAAGTTTGAACCTAGCTTGGCAGTTGAAACCCCAGCCCACCCAAGATGAAGTTTGGAAGCCCCTGACTCAAGTGAGATACAAAAGGCTAAGGATGTATAGTTATAGAGTGCTTGCCTAACATGCAAGGCCCTAGGTTCAG